GAAGATATTTAAATTTTGTTTTACTTTGTTCATCAGTTTTAAAACTTACTTTTTCAAATAGGCGAAAGCTAAATATATGCATTAAAAATAAACATGACACAATCCATACTTGCGACTACACCAGAATTTGTGTGAAAATGTTTCTTGCTTTGTGTATGGAGTGGTTATCTTTCTGAGTTTAAGGATTTTGTTAATTTGCATCTATTTAACAACACATGTTAGATAAATTTGCTATATAAGATTGTCATGGTTAAAATTTTATGCTTCCTTTTTGTTTGTTTTTTATATATATGTCTTCCATACTGTGCTGAATTATTATACTGGTCTGGTTTTTTTTTTCTGAAATATCATTAAGTACACGATCTTTCAACTATGCAGTATTGACTATTGACTTGAAATTTTATTTGAAATCAAATGTAGTTGTCATACTCTTGCTGAATGGTATTATTCAAAGGAATTCCAATTTAGTTCCAACACTAAAACCTTATATATATTGTGTACATAATCTACTTGTTACCTGTTCAGTAGCCTCTTAGACAAAAGTATTACCAAAATCATGCAAGCATGGATCTTGGTCCTTACTTAGATAAGAATGAGTAAGTAATGATATTAGTTATTTAACTTATGGACAAAATGTTTTTAAGAGTTTTTTCTAGTTGTATGTAATTTTATTTTCCCTATAAGAAGAGTAGACGTCATTGCTATAATAATATATTATGGTATAAAAAAATTTCTAATCGTGTTTATTCAAGCAAGCAAACCAATATCCGATGTCCTTATTAAATTTATGAATCAAAGCTTTCACTTAAAAACGAAAAAAGAGGAGATACGAATCACAATCCAAACTAACTAAGATGAAGAGCCAAAAAACCCCTTATAAAAATAGAAATGTAAAGTGTGAGGCATTTTATAGTTTCCACTGTATAGTTTCTCTTATATAAACATGATTCATTGCCCAGAAGGAACAGTGCACAAGTTTTATCTAGTGTTTGGCACAGATCAGATATATAGGTTTTTGATTCATTGCCCAGAAAGAACAGTGCAAGAGTTTTATCTAGTGTTTGGCACGGATCAGATATATGGGTTTTTGATAGTATTCGTAATCTTATTCGTTCATATAGATTGATAATTTTACAATTTGTTTTGAAGCCATCCAAATAATAAATATGTTTGAAACCATCCAAATAATAAATATGTTTGAAAGTATGCTGGATGTCCAATAAACTATGTTTTAACTGGATATTTAATTCGGTTCGTGAAAATAAATAAAATTCATTTTTAAAATTTTTAGTTTAGTGAAACAAAAATATATTTACAATGGTACCACAAAATAGCGACATCATATGATATCATAGAGTATCGTGCGAGTGCATCGGGTGGACAGAGATATTAGTGTGAGAGGTTCAGACCATGTGATCATAATCTTATTGTATTATTCTTCAAAAATCTGAGACAGAATCCATACTACCCTCTGAAGTTAAATGTTATCATACACGAACAAAAAAAAAGTTATTGTACACGAAGCATAGAGAATCCAAAAACCAGGAGCAATGGTTAGCCTAACATGAGCGAGAGATGCTGTGATACATCATCTGTTGTTTCTTTTCTTGATTATATCATTTGTTGTTTCTTTCTTCATCTTGTTTGGCTTTGCTTTTGAATATTAGTGGACGGACATAAAACTATTAACAGAATCCAGCTGCGATGCTTTAGTAAAATCTCTACTTTCTTCTCCAATTCATCAATATCCATACCACACGTTAGGCAAACAAAAGTATTAATTGAACTATGACGTGTTACTTTCCTTGAAACAGCTGACCTCTAACTTCACATTGGTCAGAGCGAAGGTGGTAAAATTCAGAACTTCTTATAGGCCACGTATACAAATAACACTCCATATCAATGCTTGTTCTTCATCTCACAAGTCAGTAACCGGCCTCAAAATAGATGATGCTCCTCCTCTACTAAGACACTTCATTTCTCCCTTCCCATCACTGACAATCCAACCAACAATGCTTCGGTCAGGCATCATCTCTCCAAAAACAATTCATATTATAGGTTCTTTGATGCTTATGCCTTTAGTTGCAACTGGAGCAGAATGCATTGTGTTTTCAGAAACCTCTTTGTAAAACTGTTTAGATAAAAATGTAAAAGAGAGTCAATTTTAATATGTCCATGAGTGGAGGTGTAAGCTCACATACTTTTCACAAACAAACTGATCACCTAAAACGTCGCTCAAAAAAAAAAAAAAAAAAAAAAAAAAAAAAAAAAACAAAAAAAAAAAAACCTGATCACCTAAAACGTATCCAAGCTTACCTTGAGAGAAAAACGCTTGTATAGAAGACATAGTCAGACCAACAAAGATAAAATTAGGAGCAAATGAACATACCTTGGAATCTTGCAGCACCTTATGGATGCCCATCAGTTGACCTCATTTTTAGCCTTCAGGAAAAATTTGGAAGTTGTCATTAGGAAAATTTGTCTCAGAGATGAATCGAGAGGAAAGTGGAGTGGCAGCTGGGAAGGTTTATATTATAAATTGAGAACAACGTATCTTACATGAGAAGAAGAAAGGAATGTCTGAGCCTATTTCAGTTGACCAATCTTGGAGTTCCTTCTCAGAGACAAGACCTCCATTGAGCTGATTTGCCGCCTAGAATGCAGTTGCAGCATTACTGCTTCCAACACCGAGTCCAGCTCCAGTAGGCACCTTCTTGTCTAGTGAATCTGTCCCATATAAAAAGAGAGACATATAAGTTTTCAAAAGTGTATGAAATATGATGTTTGTCTAGTGTTTTTACCCAGAAGAACTTGTTACTACCGGTTTTCTTCCTGTAAAGGTTGAGTGCTTTTACAATCTGCACAGCCCAGACAGAATTAGAAAAGTTATTCAACTTCGTTAGAGAAGTATTAATCAAAACATCTCACCAGATTTCTGGCATCGACAGGGACTCCAGAGACGTTGGTAGAAAGACGATCTTTGGACTTTGATGGAGACAAAGAGAATTTACTTGGTCTCCGAAGCTAATCACCTAATCAAAGTGCGGAAATAAGAAATAGGAAAAAGCTTAAGACTTTTGTGAGAGGAGGAAGAGCTTACATGAAACAGAGAAGCTAAATCATGAAACGCATCTTCCCGTTTGCCCGTAATCCTCAAGAAAGCATTGATCTGAAGAGTATTTGATTATAAGAATAAAGACAAATATAGATTGAATGATGTGACTGTAACGTCGTCTGGAACTGAAAAGGGGATCGTTTGGATTCAGCGTTCAATCTAGTGATTTAGTTCATGGGCCTACTTTGCACAGAACCAAATGAAGCCCATGAGTAAGATTATGTGGGTTTTTTTAAGTCTAATGTGATGAAATCTGCTGAAGATCGAAACAAACAAAACATTTACTCGGGAAGTTGCCACGTGTTGCCAAACCCCCCATGCTCCAGGGTGACGTGGCAGCAGGAAAAAGCAGATAAGTCTACTTTATATATATATATATATATATATATAGATAGATATATGGATGGATATTCATTTTAAGAACCTTTAATTCAATTTAAAAAGAATCAACGATAAATAAGTTCATCTTTTACTTCTAAACACTTTTGTTAATCATTTACAGAAAACTATATATGATCCTTTTTTTTTACAAATTATGATCTTTTTATGTTTGTTTATTCATGTTATGTAATAAATTTATTAAAGATAATGTTTAATTTATCTGAAATAATAAGAGAAAATGACTAGAATAGACCAAAAAAGTTTTTATCACAAATATAAACCTTAACAATTAGAATGACCAAAATAACACTTAAATGTTTTATTAAATATACATTTATATCCTTGGATTAACTAATCCTATATTTTTTTGTTTAAAGTTGAAGAGTGGGGTTTTGGGATAGGGTTTCGAATTTAAAAAAAAAATATAAAAACTTAAAATTTTCAAAATAAAAAGTATTATTTTGGTCATTTTAATTTTTGAGGTCTATTTTTGTGATAAAAAAATTAAAAGAAGGCTATTTGAGAGAATTTCCCAAATAATAATTGTGTTGGACTATTGCTAAAACAAAAATAGATAGGTATAATTAGTAAATATAAAAAAAGTATAAGGTTTTGTTAATAATTAATAATAAAATGTGGAAGAAATATTTTTTTTTTGAAGAATGAATTGAATCAAACTATTGGAATGAATGTTGGTTCATTTTTTTCTTTATTTTAAAGAAAATGAAAGTTTGAAGATAAAAATGAAGCCAACCATTAGAGATGATTTAAGAGGACATAGATTGAAGCAGCTAACGATTACTAGGGTGACCAAATATCTAATGTAACTGTAGAAAAAAACCATAAGATAAGAAGTTTCTTAGATTCTTAGATATCGAGAGTCGCTTTCTTATTATTATTTTTTTTCTGTTTGATTCATACGGTTGTTTTGAAATTGGTTAGAATCACACTCTGCTCTGAAATTATTCTCATCATCTCTTGCGTTTACTTAGTTTTTAGAACTTAGCTATTGAGAAGGTCCTCGTTGGACTTAGGGACTAATATTGTACAACTCTTTTCTAATTGTCTGTTTCGGGAGCCAGGGTCCCTTTTTATGTGGCTGGTACGCTTCAGCGAGTCACACCGTGCTATTAAGATTTATGCAAGGCCATGGACTATCAAGATAAGCTCGAAGCTTTTCCATATCGTTACGCACATGGCGATATTGATATTACTATCTCTGGAGAGGCCAAACTTTATCACAAAGCAACTACATTCATCAGACCGGACGGGGACAGTTAGATGAACCACACTTGTAATAATGAGGTTAAGAGGGTTATTAACTTGTAAGTCACACTCTTTCTTAGCAAATCACACATTACAATAAATTCAAGCATGTTACATCAAACTTAGAAACTAATCCCCTCTCCAGGGTACATTGATACATCACAAAAGATAAATACTCTTTATTTTACTTCTTAAAGTTTCTTCATATTCTCAAATCTCAATAACACAGAGCAGATCTTCAAGGCAAGGACTTAGCCATTTGTCTAAGAAGAAACTTCTGAATTTTACCAGTAGAAGTCTTTGGAAGCTCCTCCTGAAAAATCACTTTCCTAGGAACCATATACTTAGGTAACTTCGTCTTACAAAACTCCCTTATCTCCCTCTCAGTCACCAACCCATCACCATTATTACCATACTTCAAACTCACAAAAGCATACGGTGTCTCTCCCCACATCTTATCCGGTTTAGCCACCACCGCAGCTTCCTTAACCACCGGGTTAGTGTACAGAACAGTCTCAACCTCCGCGCTGCTTATGTTCTCTCCTCCACATATGATCACATCCTTTGACCTATCTTTAACCTCCAAGTAACCGTCTTCATGTATAACACCCACGTCTCCTGTATAGAACCATCCGTCTTCTCTCATACACGACGCGGTTCCTTCAGGGTCTTTGTAGTAACCGAGCATAACTGATCCTCCTTTTAACACAATCTCTCCTACTGAAACTCCATCGTGCTCCACGCTTTTACCTGTTTGCTTGTCCCTAACGTCCATTTCAGCAAAGCCAACGGTTCTTACTCCTTGTCTTGATTTCAGTCTAGCTCGCTCCAAGGGATCAAGATGGTCCCACTCAGGCTTCCATGCACATGAGATAACAGGGCCTCCTGTCTCAGTTAAACCATACCCGTGTCCTACATTGAAACCGAGGGTTTCTGCTCGAGAGATGATGGCTGCAGGAGGTGGAGCTCCAGCCGTCATCACCTGATTCAACAGTTTCACATCCCTCAAAATCTTATTTCTCCCATTAATAGACTTTAAACATTTTGTAAAGTAATAATGTTAAAACTATGATATTTTATTAATTTATTAGTTTCTTAGATTTATAAAGTTTAAGATACAAATATTTTAAGGTATATAGATTAATTAACTTTTACAAAAAAAAAAAAAGTTACGTTGTTCTCAATCGATTTTTTGGTGTATATAAAAATATATATATTTAAATTTATTTTTAGTTGAAAAACAAAATAAATCAAAATATGTTGAAATGTTTAAAAATTAAAAATAAATGTCACCGTAAAAAAGTTAAATAATAGAAATTTTGTTGTATTTATATAAACACTATATATATACATTAATTATATTTATATTTATGTTTCTGTTGCGATGATATATTTTCTAAAGTTCTTCAAAATTATTATCTTATCAAACTGTTATATTTATAGTTTTATTGCAATTTAGAACAAGTAAAATTTATTAATTTGTAGATTTTATAATGTATGTCAGCTTAAATAAGTATCAACCAAAGTCTAAAGAAGTGTTCCATCATAAACTAAACCAGCAATCAAACCAGGATGTATTTAGCACCTGAACTGGGCTCTTGAGCGGTTGACGGGAAGGGTAGTTAGTGAGCATGTTGAGAACCATCGGTGCAGCACACATGTGAGTTACGTTATGCTTATCGATCAAGTCATATATAGTTGGCGCGTCAACTCTCCGTGTGCACACGTTGGTGGCTCCAACGGCAGCGGTTCCCCACGTGTACCCCCAACCATTAGCATGGAACATCGGTAACGTCCAGAGGTAAACCGGACGGTTTGGAAAGGACCAGTCAAGCAAGGAGCTAACCGTGAGCATGAAAATTGCTCTGTGGCTAAGCACCACTCCTTTGGGAGACGACGTCGTTCCTGAAGTGTAGTTAAGCACCATCGGTTTCCACTCAGTTTGTGGACGGATCCACTTGAATCTTGAATCTCCTCTCTCCATGATCCCTTCGTACGTGTCAAGAAAATCTGATGCGGCTGAAGCAGAGGAAAAATCATCATCATCATCGTTGAGGAGGACGAGGTGAGGCTTATCATGTTGTCCCAAGAACGAGACTGCTTCAAGGACAAGTGATATGGAACTGTGGTCGACAAAAACGAGCTTGGATTCACTGTGACGTAGGAGGACAGAGAGTGCATGTGCGTCTAAGCGAGGGTTGATGTTGTTTAAGATGGCTCCGGACATTGGGACAGCGAACTGAAGCTCATAGACGGATGGGATGTTGGGGCCCACGACAGAGACAACTTGTCCTTGGTTGATGCCAAGGGAAGAGGTAGTGAGAGCAGATGCTATTCGGAGACAGCGGTTGTGGGTTTCGGACCAAGTGTGGACGGTGTTTGTGGGGGGGAGGATGGATGGACAGTCACCATAGACGGAGGCGGCTCGGTCTAAGAAGCCAAGGACAGTGAGTGGAGTTGAGTTTGATGGGTGTGGAAGTAATAAATCCATTGTTTTGGTTGTTTAATGACTTGTTTTGGTACGTGGTTTGTGACAAGAGTCGGGAAGGGTCTGTATTTATAAGACATTGGAAAGGTTTTGATGTCTTTTTCTTTTACAACTATACTCGATTACATATGACCCACAATATCAGCTTGATGAAATGTAGTAAACAGATCTTCTTTAGTTTCCTAACTAACAAAAGTACTAAATTTGGCTAATATATAAAGAGAATTATCTTTATATTTTTCTTGGGAAATAAGAGTTAGGTACTTGAATGAAAACAGACGTCATAAAGTTAGAACCAACGAGCTTTATCTAAAATTTCCAAGATTGTGGCGACAAGTTCCTAGTTTGGACTACGATCGAAGGAGTTACCTAAAATAATGGTCCTTCATTCTAAATTTTTTTTTTGTTAACAGGCGAGTTCTGCAACCATAGGCCCGTAGTCACCTCTGACCCGGAGCCAATCTTTGTTAATATCTTTAAGTGGCGTAAAACACTCTGTAACCATGTAGAATTTAGGGGCGAGTCGAACCCAGCTTCAGCCAAGCGACTGCGCTTAATTCAACTGGAGACCACTAGTCCACCACCGTGGGATTCCCTTCATTCTAAATTTATATTCATATATAATAATAGACGATAATGCTTTATGCATGCATATGTATACTTGATACTTCAATTTTTTACTAGTAAAATATTTTCTTTATAGTATAGTTTCGAGTATTCTAGTGTTATACTAATTATTAATTAGTATCTATTTTCACATTTCGTACTAAGAAGAGCATCTCAAAATTATATGCATATTATAGCCATGCATGCTCGTTTAGCTGACGTAGCATTGATTTCTACTGTCAACTCCCACATGATATGTTGTTAGTTTTGCTTACGTTTATGAGTACTCAATTGTATCTTGTAAAGAATGGTCGCTACATTCGGCGACCTGTACTTTGTGACATTTATAAATATCTAGTAGTCACTTTTTTAGAATTATAAACATAAGTTTTGGCTTGGCCCTATTCTTCTTCTTTCTTTTTTTTTTTGTCACTGGCCCTATTCTTCTAAAACTTGAAACAAGCATCAGTGACAAACCGATGAGAGAAGTAACCGTTTGTACCCCGAATTATTCTAAATTAGTTAAACCATACCGTTAAGGTGCGTTTCTAATGCTATCAAAGTATCAATTATGTATCACCCACCTATATTCAAATCCTTTTAATGTATATTGTTGACTTTAAACTTTAGAAATACAAGATGAATAACATATCACGTTATAGAAACTAGCTCAAACTAGCTTAGAGTAAGGACAAAAAATCTTAACTATAATCCAGCAGATAATGAATTTGAAATCTAAGACAGAAAAAAAATTTACATAGGGAAAGACACAACTTGTATTTATGTATACTTGTAAGGATCCCCGTGACGAGTACCGACTAAAGCCCATCAGGGATTCAATTGAAAGTGAAGATAAAATGCAAACTTTGATGACTTACACGTAATAAAGTGTTTTTGTGAATCAAAGAGATCAAAACTTGGTACATACCGAAAATGTTATTAAAATGAAGTTCTAGTGTCTTCACAAGCTATCAAAATAGCAAGTTACACATCATACTCTTGGAATTCATGTGACATTGTTGATTGTTGTGTGTACACCAAAACTTTTGAAACACATAGAGATATGAACAATGGCAGTGGGTGGTGAGATGATTTAATGTGGATAAATATGAGTAGTTTAAAAGTCATAGGCATATTGAATGAATTTCTGTATCACCCGACATGTACGTATTCATTAACTGTACATATACATAGATTCAAATGCTATGTACTTGCCAATATTGGCATCATGAAGGTTTTGCCAATTTAGATACAACTTTCTCTTCCATAAATACTTGCTTAACATGGTCTAGTTTCAATTAATATGGCAATATGTGTCATCTTCAAAACATAAATACTTATGCTTATCAACTTCTGTAGCACCATAAATAGATTACAGTCCTTTGAATTTAAGATTTCATGGAGATGATAGATTTTTATATCAAACCGAATGTACCATGTGAACCACGAATACGGAAGTACTGTCCGGTTTAACTTTCTGGTTAACAAGACAAGAAAAGCCCAATAGAAACAACACAAGAAACTTCCAATACAATCATATAAAACAACTGTTCAAATTATGTTATACGCCAAGTCCATATATACATATGCCAAGTCCTTGCCTCTGTAATTATAACTGTGATTTTATCTGAATGAACTCTATTCATAGAAGGGAGGCATAGTTGTGAAAAACAAACTTCACAAAGAGCATTGTGACATCTCTACTCATGTCTCGCATACAATTTTACGGTATCATGCCAGGCTATACTTTACATATGATTAGGGATATAACGAAACAGAGACATGTATATTTTCTTACATTAGCACATGACATATAAGCATATACATACTTACTTTACAGAATTTACACACATAACACATCAAACATGTCACAAGGACTATATATATATACACATATGCAAGCATCATTGGACATGTAACATCATGTTCTTGAACTCTTCAAAATCAATAACACCATCAAGATTCTTATCATGAGCTCGAATCATCCTCCCACAATCCCAACTCTTTGTCTCCTCCTCGAATCCGAGCCGTTCCAACACCGTTCTAAGCTCCTCCGACGAAATATACCCATCTCCGTTCACGTCAAACACATTAAACGCCCCCACAATCGCATCATCATTATCAACAACACTATCGCTATTTGTTTCCTTCTTAGTCGAAACGGCGTCGTTGTAGAACCGAAGGAACTCGTCTAAGTTTAGGCTCTGTTTTCCAACGATCGGTTCGAGTTCTTCGGGAGTGTGTTCGGACCAACCAAGTCTCTCTAGTATCCAATGAAGCTCTTCGAGGGACACGAGGCCGTCTTGGTTCTTGTCGAACATTTGGAACATTCTTCGGAGATCGTTTATGCTTATGAATGAACAATCCATATCTCTCTCTGTGTTTCTGTTTCTTGATCACGAGACGTGTAGTTTTAGACCTTTTGGTTAGGGTTGGTGAAAATGTGCACTCTGTTTCTGAATAAAGTTTCAAGATTTATCGGCTATAGAGATTTCATACACACAACTATATATATCAATGAAAATGAGCATGTACGGACGGCTAAGGTGTACTTGTGGACGGAAGGGATCGAACCGAAGGAAACTTCGAAGAAGTTTAATATGAAAATGACAATTGTTTTCTTCTTCTTTTAAAATGACGTTTCTAGAAGAAAAGTCATTAAAACACGACATTTCTATATTTTTCTATAGAATTTATTCGTCAACTGTGATATATATATATAACTTGTCTATGGAAAATGTATAGCTATGATTTGTCAAAATTCTGATCTAAGCACACTATTTTATTTTAATTATTTAACCTTGAATAATGGTGTGATTATACTCGTTGATGATTTTAAAATTGGAGAGCTTACTAATCCGAGTAAATATAACTTAGATATTTTTTCATTTTTGATAGATTAATAGTATGTAGTAGATAGAGTGTTATCATAATCTGATTTCGACGTATAGAATGTTCGGTAATGTTCTTGAGTTACGTGGCATCAAGACGGTCCACATACACTAGATATTTATTTATCACCGGCCACATACGTACTTACAATTTCCAATTGATTTCCTTTTGGAGTAACAAAAACGACAATGTTATAGTTTTCATGTGTATAAATATAAATAAAACTAGGGTATGATCTCTGATTCCAAACTATTCCATTCGTATAAATTGGAAAAAATACTTTTTACATCAGATAATGTTTTAGAAATTCAAGTGGTTTTATTTTTCAGTTAACTTTTAGGAAAGATAGAATCTGAGCCCATTTCAGATATTTGGGCCTTATCCTATATTTCGGCCCAAAACGAAAACATTAAAGTTGTGTAATAATTGAGAAGCGACAAAAGCGGAAACGCTCGGTTCTCGAGTTGGCGCTTTATTTACCGACTCTTTACCTCACTGATGTTGACACTTGGAGTGCAGTGGGAGCCATAGCGAGATCTTCAATGAGATCACTGAATCGCTTTTTATTTATAGCCACTTAAGTTTAGTGTTACAGTTCTTCCTCTCCTTCTTAGACTGTTGAGAAATTCCTAGAGATGGCAATAATGTAAGTAATAATCCATGTGTTGCTCTGTTTGTAACGTTTAATGTTTTCCCCTCACATCTTGTTTTTTACAGGACTCTACCATGAAGTTTTGGTGAATCTATCGTCAGTTTAAGGAATCTGATTGTGTGTTGTGATTGTAAGATGAGAAATCTGAAGATCTCTGCTGGTATGAGACCTGTGAAGAAGGAGCCTATGGTGATCGACCTAGACAGTGACGATGAAGATACTCTCTGTGGTGAAATGAATGACTGTATGATTGATACTGGGGAATCTAATACCTCCAACATGCAAATGATATTTAGTGCTGATGATGGTGGTGATGATTGGGGTAACAAAATTGATCAACAGTATCTGAAGTTGTTTGATAGTCTTATGAACGATGGAAACTCATATCTGAGTGATAATCCACTAAGGTGTTTTAGGTATGAAGTAGATAACGGAGGATACGACACGCGCGAGTTTAAACATAAGCAGGAGAGTAGAGAAGATCAGAACACAAGTAGTGGTCGTGCCACCAAGAAGAATATTGTTGAGTCAAGGCCTTCTCATCATGTCCAAGCAAGTTCCAAGAAGAGAAAGAATGTTGTTGAGTCAAGGCCTTCTCATCATGTCCAAGCAAGTTCCAGGAAGAGAAGGGAGTTTGTGTCGAGGCGAAGAGATAGTCCTGTCAATGATAAGAGTGTTGATGCAACAAGTCATGCGAGGAGAAGCTCGCAACACAATGTTTGTGAAGCTCGTGAGAAGGAGATTGTGGAAGCAGAGATGGTACCTGATGAGAACTACAGATCTCATCTCAGATCGTTAGTGGAGAAGAGGAAGAGATCTAGTACTAATCCTGGTAAGAAGATACAAGTGAAGCGTGAGGAAGATGCAATGTCTTTGTCTGATTCCGACAGTATTGAAGTTAATGATCGTCCGTTTCTTGATGAAGAAGATTCTCCCTTTGTGCCATCAAAGAGTTATAAAGTGGTTGTAAGTATATTACTTTCTTTCACCTTCACTTTCTGCCTTTTTTAAAAGTCATCTGTTGACATGATCTTTTGTTGGTCTGTTATAAGGATTTGGAGGAAGAGAGCGATGATGATGAAGGTGATGAATGCAATTCTTGGTTTAGGAAGGAGATAATGAATGTTCTCAAACAACCATACAATGAAAAAGAATTCAAAGAGCTTGAGCACGAAGCATCAGTGTGTAGATACTTGACCAAATCTACTGAACTGTTAGATGGAAGGGATATTACTTATACAACGAAGGAAAAGAGACCTTCATATCTCGATCAGTATCCAGGTAGAAGCTAATACCATATCATCTGTTCTTGGAAAGTTATGAGTCTTATGACTTGCTTAACTGATAGTGCTAAATGAAAAGTGTACCTACCTTCTGTTTGCTTTCAGACGACAACAAACTTTTGAGAAGTTTATATGATAGAAAGTTAGAGAATGTGTTCTAAAATAAATAAATAAATAAAATAAAAGAATGTGTTCTTCACGTTCATATTGAGTTTTGGTTTTCACAGAATTCAAAAGGATGTTCGAAAAAGCCTTAGATGGAGAGGAACACCATAGCGCTCTGAACCTGTTGCGTGGCTTTATCTTTTATTTAACGGTAAATGTTTATCTGTTATTTCAATCGTTATAAAAGAGTAAAGATGCTTTTGTGTGTGATCATCACCTATACAAGTGGCCCATCGTTTGCACTATGGATTGATTATTCGCTGTTTTTTTGTTTCTCAGAAAGTTGCTCGCCATGATGCATTCAAACCTTGGCTCGACCATGAATGTTTGAACATCACATGTTTCTGAATTCTGACAAAGACAAGAGTCCCAGCAGCTCTTCACCTGCATAAAACCGACACCAGTTCCTGTTCCATGCCGAGACCTTTGTTAAGTTTTATGACATAATATCGACTAGGCTGTGCTGCTTTTATTGTGTAAGATTAACTTGAATCATTGTGTAGTAGTACTAAGTTCATTTCTCAAACTAGCCGAATGTCTTCAAGTTTCTGTAATGTGAGTTCTCTCCCATGTTTATTGGATAACGACTCCAATTTTTAAGTTCCAAGCTAACTTATAAACAACAAAATAGAAGAGAGACCACCAAAAACAAATGTATTCCAATTTTTGGATCAGTTACAGAAACATATGTACAATTCTTGTCTGTGTAATGTAGAGTATATCTAGAAGAGAAAAAAAACTAATTAACTAAAATACAAACTAACGTATCAGAAGACCGTGTATTTGTCTTTCTACCATTAGAAAGCTTACCTTTGTACTCGACCAAACAAAAACTGATACCTGTTTCTCACCGCATCAAAGCTACTGGTCTGATTAGATCGTATACTGAAGCAGGTTCTTCACTCTCACTGGACATAGATTGCTCGGTGCCTGGATGATTGTTATCACCGGCTTCATACTCAGTGGCGCCAAGGGATATAAACTCAAGGCCTTGTGTTCCAAAATCTTCATTGTCAACGGGACGTCTATTCACTACCATTGGCTCAGACTCGGAAAAGAGTTTCTGAAGTGAGCCAAAGTAACGCCCACGAGCATTTTTCTCTGATGGTTCGCTTGGTCTTTTCCTCTTTCTTCCTTTGCCTTGGTTCTTTGGGTGGTGGAGCTTGCATTTCGATCCTTGAGAGCATGATCCAGTGGCTTCGAAATCTGGGCACGTGTAGGAATGCTTCTTCCGACACTGTTACCATTATGTAGAAGACAACAATCCGCAATCTTAACTTCATCAAGTGTTGTAAGTGAATTAAGAGGGATAAATAAAATGTGACATAAAGCCACAGAGAGGGATCTCTCTTTCCTTTATACTCCTAGTGGTATTACTCAACTTAAGATGCTATTGAACTCGCAAAGGAAATATAAAAGATCCAGTTCACTAAAAGAAACGTGCATGTGCATGTGGAAAGGCAATACATGAGCCAGTTGCAAACTGTGCAATATATTCAAAGTTGAATCCTTACCTCGTCTCCGTCTGAACAGTATCCCTTCAAAAACCCATCACATATAGCGGCACTCGGGTTGACATGCACATGCCTATATGGGCATGCCTCATTGTTGCATAGACCTGCGTAATAGATATTAGAATTTGTGTGTACAGTGTACCTGATTTGGAAACTTAGTACAGTTGGAAATTCTTACCTTGCAGAAAATAAGAACAATCAGGCATCCTTTCTGGAATGACCTGTGGAAGAAATAAGACAAACAGTTAGAGGTTTCTGTGAAGAAAAATCCTGTAGCAATGACTTAGTAGGACGACCTTGTGAGTCAATTTGCAATTCGCGTTGGCACACAATCCATTCAAAAATTTGGTGCAAACTGCAATTTTCGAGGGGTCATGAACATAGGGACATTTCCCGTCATCTTTGTTGCATTTCCCGAATCTTGTGAAGAACTGGCAGTACTTCTTCTTCTTCTTAGCCAACCGCAACCGCACATTGTGCAGGCTCCATCTGACCTTCTCATTTGCTAACGCACGGGTTCGTTTCTTTGGATCTCTGACAAGCTGGTTACCATTTCCCACACGAACATATCTGCAAAATTGAATTCAAATGTTCGATTGAGGCTCCCGACAGTTGAATAACATTAGATATACATTTAAATCAAGAAATACATACTCTTCATGGCCTATCACCAATCTCTTTGGGATGAACGGTTTTTTCGCGCCTTTCCCATTTTCAGTAGGTCCAGAGCACGGTGAATCAACATCTAACAAAGAACCATTTCTTAGCTCAGCAGAGAGATACATGAGGTCAAGACTCTCGTGCAACTAATGAAAAGCTAACATTCCAAGCCTAGAGAGTTCTCACATCCGATCAAAACCTTGGTCGAGACTTATCAACCACCTAGAGGGAGTGAACAAAAGCTAATATATGTGTGTGTGTGATCGGATCATCCATATACTACAGAATAAGAAGCTCCAGATAACGGATCACTAACGGTGACTTTTGTCCCTGCTCGCGGTTTCTGGTTTCTAATCACACAGAAACCATATTCTTGTTTCTCTAAATCCTATTTTGATATTTTCAATGCTCATCTACAATATCAAACTATAGCGTTTATGAGTTTTTTTTTTTAACTTTAGGATATCCTACCAGATATTCTCTGAAGAGTTCGCCTTGAAGGATCCATTTTATAGCGAAGGGAACCAAACCTGAAAATGCGCTCCCCTGAAGAACAGAAGTCGATAAGAAAAAAAACCTTGAGGTTTGCTGGAACAGAGGCTCAATAAACAGCAAGAAAATAAACCCAAGATAAATGAAGGCGAAGCTTTATACGAACTGGCCAGGAGGCCTCCAAAATTATAGAATAATTCGTCCAAATAACTGGCCATGCATACTATTTATCCTGAACCAACTTACGTGCCAGATGGTTTCTGCTTGTCTTCCTAGTACTACTTTGTCCAGAATGCTTTTCATTTTCTTTCTTTGAAAATGCAGCCACAGCCAAAGTGGCTTCCTGCACAAACAGAGGGAAAATAAAGTTGGCTACACCACTTTCGATTGTGCTAAAGAAGTGATTCTTCCACAGACAGGCCAAAGTCACTTCAGTGAAGAAACTAACCTCATTAGCTTTTCTCGAGTCTCTCTCAATGGACTTAGACCATTTTAGATGCGACCCACCAACACTTAATACCTTGGATTTTCGAAGTGAATACCCGTTAGTTGATCTTGTGTATACAGTATGTCTCTTCCTCATCGTTGGCAACTTTTGGCTGAAGATTAGAACGCCCTGTCATCAACTTTGCAAACACAAAAAAAAAAGCGTCGCAGCTCAAGGAACCTGAGTACATTAGATGCTAGATACCTGATGTTGGAAAAAGAACCATTTCGCAAAGTGGAGACAGAATTCATTAATCTTCTCCAGTATGTCACTCTTTTCCAAGGAACAAGCTGTGGCAAGATCCTCCGATACCGCATGTGACTTGAGGGCAGCCCTGACTGTAGATCATTTTGCGTCCAAACCAGAGAAAATTTTGACCGCTTATATGGTCTCGTGACAGCTGCAAATAAAAAAAGAGAGGACCAGTTACTTCATCTCTCGCATCTAGTTATGAGTACAAAAACGAAAAAACATATGCAAGTATATGGAAAACGGAATCTGATACGCCTGTTTCTGTAAGAAATCCTATACCAAGGATTGTTTGTTCCTGAAAAACGAAAAGGAATACGGCAAAACAAACCAATTATTCCTTTTCCAGGAATAAACCATCCACTGTTCAAGATCTCCTAAAGAAACATGCTTATCAGAATCAATTTGAAAACTGATAGATGCTCAAAGAGCGCTAACAGATATTTATTTCTTTACATACCAGAGTCGGAGAATGCTGAGCTAGATGATCTTTCCGAAACTATGGTTGCAGATGCTCGTGAATCTAATGCATCATCAGGTGAGTGATTGACACGGCTCTCGGAAGTCCTTACTAACTGATTTTTACTTCGCTTGAAGTAGCCATCAGAGGTAGGAATCTGGCTCCTACTTGTACCATGAATATCTGAAGATGCAACCAACTGATTTGCCTTCCTTTTGACATATACCGTTCTCTTCAAATCTGAATCCAATTTGGGAGGAATTTTGTTCTGCTGGCAATCTGAAGCATAATCTGTCTGAATTGGTGTGTCAGATGTCATGGATGCATCTCCACCAGAGTGCGGAACACTAGCTTCTCCAGATGTAGCAGAATCCATGATAGACTCAGGTAAACCAGCGGTGAGGTGATCCATGCTGTAAGATAACGCACATTTTCCTGAAGGAGCAACAATAGCATTTGATACTTTGGAGGTGCTGCTGTCTGAGGGAGGCTTTGACTGCTTCTCAAGAGTGGGTATTTCTCCTGCTTTAGCAAGAAAAGAAGCGTTGCCTACATCAACCCTACTGGCAGATCCAGTGCTTTTGTTTTCTATACGGTTTAACTGGATAGCAGATAAAGGCAGTCCAAGGGTAACACCAGGAGAACCAGAGGGTTTTCGAAGAAGGCTATTCCCTTTACGTACATAACTATTACTAGATTGGGCGGTCACTATGGGAAACTTCTGTTGTGTAGACAAAGTAGACGACAAAGGCTTGGCAGCAACAACAGAAGAGGCAGCAGGACTGGGCTTTCGATGCCAAGTGTGATGCTTATTGGGAGGGTTGGCATTTTTCGTAGTGTCAGACACAAATGGCAGGGAACGGGGATAACTTTTCTGAGTAGAGTAATTGGATTTCTTTTTCCTCTTTTCCAATTCATACCGAGAGCTCAAAGATGTCTTATTTTGGGGATCCCGATCCAGCACAGATTTAACATGATCGTTAACATTGGCCAATGCTAATTTAACATCTGCATGTGAGTGTGATCTTGACAGATGAACACCAGAATCTGCAAGAATTTCAGTTCCAGAAACTTTTCCATCCGCTGACAAAGCTTCACCATCAAATATATCAGCCTTAATAATGTTCCGTGAGTATTTCTCTTGACCGCCAACATCAGATGTCACATCACCTTCCGGAGTTCTGTACTTAGTGGTTCCACCTGAAGGCTTTGCTTCCTCTTTATAGTTGTTGGAGTCATCAACCATAGAAGCAACATGAGTTTCACTCTGTATCTGTCTGTACAGCTCAGGAGAGTTGGATAGAGAATCAAATGGAACTGAATCCCCACTAAAGGCAACAATATCAGTTTCTTGAGTTGTGCACTCACTGGTACCACCAGAATGCTTGGCTTTATGTTTATCTTTGTAAGTTTCATCAACTGTAGAAGCAACATGTGTTTCACTCGGCATCTGCCCGAAGCTCTGTCCCGGTGAGCTGGATAAAGAATTACCTAAAAACACTGAATTCCCAGTAACAGCAACAATATCAGTTTCCGGAGTTCTGCACTTCGAAGTTCCACCAGAAGGGTTTGTTTTCTCTTCTTGAGTATCTGTAGTAAGGTTCTCAGCACAATTATTTTCCTCATGAATGATCCCACCTTGAGATTCACTGTAGTTAGTTTGAATAAATGTTTTGTTTCGTATCTGCTCATTCATTGCCATCGAGGGAGAAATATAGCATGGACTAACTGAATTATCCGATACCAAGCAAGCACTAACCCTTGAAGTATCCTCTTCCAGATTTTTCTTCACAGCGATGTTCCAGACAAAATCAAATCCACCAGATGATCCACATCCATGACGATCTTCGGGCAAGAACTTGCGTACAGTTGAAAACGGTTGACTTTCGTAGGGACCAGATTCAGCGTTGGTAACAGTTTCATTAGCAGACATGTCATTAATTCCAACTGCAAGGTTTGTTTCAATTACCAATGCAGGCGAGCTAGGTAAATTACCACATAAAGTGGAATCATTTTGGCTAACGTCTCGCTGAACAAGCCCCTCGCTTGCACCATCAGTAATATCTTTGTTCAGAGAAACATTTGGCTCCGGTAAACAAGCTTTCAAAATTCTAATATTTGAACCATTTAACTGGTCAACAGAAGGAAGTTCTGCAGGATGATGAGATGCTAAACCCAGGTCTTTATCAGGAGCAAGTCTCTCGGCACTTACATTTTCCATACACACGTCAGATGGTACTTCCATAGCTACATCTGATTCATCACTACGTGAAGAGCCATCACTTCTCTCAACAGGCAACACATTTAATGAACCCTTTACATCATCCTTTGAACGAGATGAAGAAGTACCTTCTACACAGGCTTTTTTACCTCCATCACAGTTCAGATTATCAGCCATTTCTGCAACACTACTAAGATGCGTAGTTTCCATGGATTCTTTTATGTTACCATTCTCAACTGATGGATTGACCGTGTTAACACAATGAGTAGGATTTTTACTTTCACTCGTATCAAGTGAGTCGACTATGGTATTGGTACATGTACCAATGGTTAAACTGTGAGCATTAGCGAGATCCCCCGAAATATTATTGTTTGCATTAGCAAGCTCCGTTGAAACACTAGGAATTTCCAGAGAGGCAGAGGAAACTAGACCCCTACGGCAGTTATTTCCAGGAGACAAGGAATCTACATTCTTATTGATCCCAATGCTGCCACCTTCAGTACCACCCATATCTAACTTAGCCGTCGCCTGCTCACCAGGGTCTTCTCTATTAAAATAGATTGATGCGTCTCGAGATGACTTCTCAAAATCTTTATCGACATGACCTAAAGATCCAACTGATGAGCCAATGAATGTCCTTTCTTCAAACCCTGTATTTACCTCCTCCATTGGTACATTCCTTGATGGTGAACAATCCATATCCACATCTTCGCAAGGATGAGATTCAACACTGCACATGGACTTACGAGCAAAACAAATTACTGCTTCAGAAAACTCAGAGCTATCAGCGTCTGTGGACAATGGTACAAGTAATTTAGTAGGAGATCTATTGGTACTCGCCTTCACAATGTCTTCCATCTCCATGACCTTCAGCGGAAGAGCTTCACCAGCATTGCGACCAGTTATGTCCAACACATCTTGTGACTTCAGTATACTTTTGTCTCCATCAACAATATCTTCTTTAACGGAGCAGGCCCCCATATTGCTATCATGTTCGACATTAGAGTCATCCTTGGCCTCTCTCAAAGCCTCACAAAAATTAGAGATCTTTTCTGCAGCATGTACAGTACTACGAACTTTTGCTTCACTATCACAAGTTAAAGCTTCAGGACCTCTATCAGTGATTTTAACTTCGCAATCCTGAACGACACCATTAACAAAGTTGACCTTGTTCATACCCCCAGCATCGCTCGAAGACTGGGTTGAGTGATTATCAGGTTTCTTTTCAATTTCAGATGAAATATTTTGCCTTTTAGATGGTCTGGCGTCTTCAGAAACCGATGCCTCATCTGAAAATTGTATCCTCTTTCCATTTCCTCCAGTTACAGAAGGGTTCTCACTTTTATCAGGCACCAATACTCTTCTAGTTTTAAAAGACCGAGGTGTCACAGACCGGCTTGGGTGGATGCCTGCACTGGCAGGCGATGCTATGGGCTTAGCTACCAGAAGATTCGATTCAAATGAAACATCAAGATCCACTGGAGTTCTCTCCCTTTGCTTCTCCACAAATCCACGATCAGAACGACCTAAATGTTCTTTACCCCTAAACGAGTTAGAGTTAAACCTTTTCCCATTATAGTTACTATGATTCCGACCATTCTCTCTACCCTTCTGATAATTTCTTGGAGTTTCAAGCCTAAGCAAAGCACTCTTCTTCTGCATTTGTTTCCTCGGTGTTCTATTCAATTCACTGCTCTCTTCTCTCCTTCCACGATCAAAACTCTGTTCAATCTCGGAATGATAGTAATCATCCTTTTTCCGAGGATAGAGAATCCTCCCTTCATCCCACCTCTGGTTTCTACTCCCTTCATGACTTGCAGATGACCTACCCATATCACGACTCACTGTAACACCATATCGCTCACTACCGTAACCAACACGTGAAGCTAAACTCCTATTACCTTCATCTAAACCCCTAAAACACCTATTATCAGACTCTCCTTTTAACTGACCACGTTCCTGATAACTCCCTTCTATCCTATTTTCTTTTCTCACATATCCAACGTTACGAAACTCATCTCTAGACCTAGAACTACCATCTAAACCACGATTAATGCCAACACCCGCCGAATCCCTCGAGGAACGGCTGTAGTCATACTGATATTCACGGATTGGACTCGGATCCACTCGTCTTCCACCAGAATCTCTCCAAGAATCAACTCGTTTATCCTTGTAACCAACCCAATCAGACTGAGAGACATCTCGAGATTCCGTAAACGGGATTGCTGACGACGACGAAGGCTGCGAAGCCCTTTGAGACTCGTAGCTAACTTGCTGAGGAACGTATGGTTGATGCTGATGCTGAGGCGGCGGCGGTGGCGGCGGATACTGTTGCTGAGGCGGTGGGGGATGGTGGGAGTAGTAGGAAGGCGGCTGATTAACAACCTCCGGATTGGGAGGAAGGTCTTGGCGATGAGAGTAATGATGGTAATCACGACCGTTGTGAGTTGATGGAGGATAGAAATTAGGGCTAGAGGGATGAGATTGGCGAGGAGGAGGCGGTGGCGGCGGCGGAAGGAGAGAAAGAGGTGGAGGATGAGGAGTGTAAGGAGAATTCCATGGGGCGTAACTCGGATTGTAATGAGATGAATCCATCGTTTGATTTTTTTTTTTCCCGAGAAAATTTGCAGATCTTTCTAAAACCGCGTCTTCATCTTCTTCTCTTGCTTTCTGCTGAAATCGTGAACGCAAACAATAACGATAACGCCGGGATTAATACGACAAACGATTTTTACCCTCGAGTCGTGGCGGTTACAACTCCTTTTCTATCTTATTGGGCCTGGACTACACTTTGTGGGCCTAAGATAACTTGTGTCATCTGTTACGTCAGAACCATGAGTGATTCAGAGACACACAGGGTTGGTTGTCTTTCAGAGTTAAGATAAGATATTACTAAATCTTTATGATTGTGATAGGCACTATGAATGAAATAATTCATTTCAACAAGATAATGTTAGATAATGACAGGTACGAGCAATTACATGACAAAGAAAATTCACTTAGATCCATTAGGATCAAGGAATGCACATATTTGCATTGTCTATTTTGCCCCACAACAAAGGTAAAAGTTGTGAAACAGACCCCATAACAACTGAAAGCTTCATATATAACTCTAAACCAAGGGAGGGAGGAGGGGCAATAGCACTCACAACACATCCACCTCTCATCCACCACCCTATCCAAAATGGAAAGAAACACCTTTTCTTTCATACTATACTATACACTTACACTGACATTTGTACCTTGTCACTTGTGAGTCGCATACAAAGAGTCTTGACCATCCCAGCTTGGACAGTTTTGCACTTGTGCTTTGTTGATGTCAATAGAATAAGTTCAATTGAAGCTAGATGAGCGGCTTTCCCTGCCATTAAGATAATCCTCCACGGAGATGCCTTGATCCATGCTTCTCATGGAGTGAGAGTCGTCTTCCATGTCTAGGAATGCTAGGTTTAGATGTGACTGTAGATTTGACCTATGCAGTTTCTCGTCTTTGAGCAGCTTTGAATCCTCTAAACCATTACTGATTTCTTCCTTTGCCCACTTTAGCATCTCCGTGTCACCTTTAAGAAGATCTAAGACCTGCATTTTCACAACACATATTTTGTTAACAATCAGTATTACACAGCTTATACGAAATGTAGAGACAAGGTCTAGATAATTGACTCACCATTCCCATTTCTGGCCTAGATTGAGGATTATGTCTTATACAAAGAGTGGCCGCTAACGCCATCCTCTCCATCTGATCACTATCGTTGTCATCTAGCAAACACGGATCCAGTAACTGAGGATAGTGTCTATCTTCCAGAATTGGTTTCGCCTGCACGTGTACATGCAAATCTGTTAATTAGCAATATCAGAGAAAGCTACAGAAAGAAGCTGGATGACTAGTATCCACATACCCACATAACAAGACTTTCTCGAGCCTTTGGAGATTCGCTATTAACAGGTTTTCTTCCAGAAAGAAGCTCGAGGAGTACAACACCATATGCATAAACATCTATCTTATTGTTCATCTTGCCATACATAAAGTACTCTGGAGCTAAGTACCTGCACCAAGAAGCGCATAACAGTTTCAAGATTGTCATCTCTAATTAACTTTCATGCAACATCAACAGAATTTGTTTCTTCTCACCCAAAGGTGCCTGAGACATCGGAGCAGATTGTCTGCGTTGTAGATGCCGACTCCCACTTTGCAAGCCCAAAATCAGAAAGCTGTGATGAACAAGATCTCCCTTGTTTTAGCATCTCACTTTTTATGAAAGTAAAAAACTGAAAAGAAAAAAAAACTTACTTGTGGCTCAAAATCATCAGACAACAATATGTTTGATGACTTAACATCTCTGTGAATAACAGCTTGTGGAGCACTGTTATGCAGATAGTCCAACGCCTCAGCTATTCCCAAAGCCACTTTATATCTCTCCATCCAACCAAACGCTACTGAATCTTTCTTGTTGCCTAAATTCAATCCATGCAATGTTAAAAGCACAAACATTAAGAAAAATCTAAAAGTGGCTAACAAGGTCAGAGACTCACCATGGAGATTTTCTTCAAGGCTTCCTCTTGAGAGATAATTGTATACCAGTAAGAGGTTTTTGTCTTCAAAGCAGTAACCTAAGAGGGAAATAACATTCTTATGGTTTAAGGTTGTAATGATGTCAATCTCTGCCACAAAATCTTTCAATACGCCCTTGGTTTGCTTGAGAATTTTCACTGCAACCTCTCTTCCATTGGGTAGGTAACCTCTATACACCTTGCTGCTTCCTCCTTTTCCGATGAAATTATCTGAAAATGACATTGTTTTCCTTAGTTAGACGAAAGCAAACCACAAGAATCTTAAAATGGTTATTCATTTGTAGTTAATCTGAGAGAAGAGGAACAAACCAGGACAAAAGTTAGATGTCACTGACACAAGCTCACTGTACTTAAAGGACTGGCAAGATGTGGAGAACCTCTCATGAAGTCCTAATTCCTCTGGAAATTTTCTTGGGCTGTCATCAGGAGAATATTTTACGATCATAGAATCATTACCATCAGGAACAGTTTCTCGGCTTTCAGCGTTCAACCTAGACAACTTATGATTATCTTCAGATTCAGAATAATCAAAACCAATCCGCTTAGTGTCTGAACTCCCAACAGCAGAGTTGGCCCTAGAAGGCAGCTTCAGCACCCACTGAGCAACTGGTATTTTTCTGTACGAACAACTCCGAGGAACATTACATAACACATCTGAAGAAGATACACGACAAAGCAAAGGCCAACCTGGTCTAAACTCAGGCAGCTCTTTAAACAGCAGATTGATGAATCTGGTCAAATCTTCTGGAGCTTTTCCGGGCGGCTCAGAGGCAATTGACTTGTCGAAATCATCAGCATTATCATCTTGACCTCCATCATAATAACTAGATGATCCAGATACATTTCCACAAACAGAGCGATTCCCAAGGCAGGAAGACACTAAAGCCTGTGGCCGTAGACTATGACCATTGGAACAATCCTCCTCTCCTTCTTTCTCTTCCTCCTCAGAATTGTTAACTACTTTTGTATTCTTTTGCAATGTGACAGGCATCTGAAAGAAGCTAGACAATGTGTTCCTACGAGGATTGCTTTCCCCTATCACATGACCAAGGCCCAAGAAAAGAATAGTTTCAAACACTAATCTACACATACAAACCTAAGAAACTCGAAAGAGAAAAAAGGCCAAACCTTTGGTGGTTGATGGGGAACCATCTTTCTGAAACATGACTTTCCCGTTGTCAACGGCCATAACCCAGCAATCTTTTGATAGTTTCCGGGCTAAGTACTTAGCCACGAAGACAGATGAATGTATTGTATGGTAACTTTTGGAAACTCCAACTACAACTTTGGATCCATTACACAGTTTTGCTTCTCTAACTAGAACCTTACGAGTAGAAGAGCCCCGACATATCTTCAGCTTCAGCTCAACCTATTAAAAAGAATCACTGTTGGTTTCTGAAGGAAGTAAAAAATGATAATTGCAAGTTATATTACCTGTTTCAATTTGCAGAGACCTTCATAGACTTGGCGAACAGAGTCGAAGGTTTTAACAAGGGAGAGAAGCAAAGAGTCTCCTGGTTGATCTGCATAAATCCAAATTTTCAGAGAGTAAACATAATAAGTAAACCCATTCATAAAAATCGTAGCTTTTTATATTTTTTTAAACGATCTCAGACTCAAAAAAAAAAACTACCATTGGTGAGAATGTGAAGAGCGATGACGGTATCACCCGGTTCAGCAACCTTAACCAAAGCCCAATCCAGCAGCTCACTGCTCGACGTATCAAACTTCACGCCAACCACAACAGTACAGCCTCCTCCTCCGGTAACGACGTCGTTTTCACTCATCTCTCGCTGTCTTCTCTTGCACGCTTGTTTTTCTCAGTTTTCTCAAAATGGTTTTCTGAATTTTCAGGTGAATACGTTGAAGTGTGATCCCTGGAGACAAAATCTTCGTTGTGATTATTATATGCCTGCGAAGAGAAACTCTTCTCTCTCTCTCTCTGTGTCGTGGCTTTGATTTTGGTTTAGCAGCCTCTGAGAAAAGAGAAGAGTGAGAAGAATGGAGGAGGAGCAGACATTTTAGAATTTCATTTTTTTGGATAATAAATACATAAATACATTAATAACTATATCTCTTTGGTCTTCATTCTCTCGATATTAATTTTTTTTTTTGGTCTTCATTCTCGCTAGCTTTTAAGTATTTTCCCTTTATTGAAAATGTCCTTTCTTGTTTCAGTCAAATGTATTAATTTTACAAAATTTTCAGATATTTACATCTAGTAGATATACCATTAAACTCTAAACTGATGGAGTGGATTTTTATATGTAAATTGTGTGTCTTTTTAGATAAAATACGCAGTTTTCATACATTTTATCCCCCAAGCAGCAGGGAAGAAATCCACGTATTTTCGGATAAAAAAGAAAAGAAATCCACGTATTAAATGCGGTATGCTCCACCGTTATCGGTTACTTATAGAACGTAGTGCCATGTAAATGAGTGGACAATATAAAGTAAACATATGATTTTCATAATTATATCTGTATTTATTCCTTTTGTTTTATATGGTTGGTTCTTTGTTTTTTTATTGCGTCAACGATTCATTCTTGGTCTATTGTTTGATTCTTTATTTTTGGTAGGTTTGACGATTCAAAGAGAGTTATTAGATAAATAATCAGCAAACATATTGGTCACGTTATTCCCCTTTTATTTGGTTTTTGACCTCAACAGGCGAATTTATATAAGCTTCTTATACATTATTATCGCGTACCTTTTGGCATTTACCGTTAATTTAATCCCATTTTGAGTCTTTGACGAATGCTGCTTGACGACAATCTTCTTTATTTTATCTGGTGGTTCCTTTTTATTCAATTTTATTCTTAGACATGTTTTTGTTTTTCGGATGAATTATTATAACACTTTATAACGTGTAAGTTTCGTTCCAGTCTCTACCGAAGCATGTACAATGAATTATTACATTCATCATTTTTCTGATCTCAGTTGAATTCAATTGTAACGTGTTACGTGTCTTAATAGAATGATTTAATAACAATATTGAAAACATTCGCATTATATGCATAACTAATCCCATACATCATCGATCAGGGAATTGTGGGTGTTTTCTTCGTTTTTTTTTTAATTTTTGCGTGTGGTTTGAAATAATCTAGAGGTGGTGAATGAGTAGAGAAGTTAATGTTTGGTCACAGAATGGGCCGATGGGAACCACCCACACGACATTGAAAGCCACTGTCGGCTAACTCTGCCAATCTCACGTGAATGAAAACCAAACTATCAAACAAGACAACGTACACGTGTTGTCTTTTACTGACGCACCATAAAGGTGAGAATAACAGAATACCTGCCGTTTTTAATAGCTTCGTACCCTAATAAACGACACGCTGGCTAAGTTCTAAAGCACGCAATCTCCTCACCTGAACACTTGAATTAAACACCTTAGTTGAAAATAATAAAACGATTGTTAACTAACAAAATAGACATAAGCTAGTTTCTCTAGTCATCAAAACTATTGCAGCTAGAGGCCATATCATTCAATACACCGCATGCATTCACCACTGCTGCTAGCTAGTAAAGTACCTGAGGCAAGACAACATTGTAGACCATGAAACAACACGTCTTTGGTCTCTCCACAGTATCACTGATTAACACCATCTACTCTCGTTTTCAATCCCAGGAAGAATTCTTATTGCTTGATTTTTCTCGGGATTATCCTAGAACCAATTTGAGACACTGAAGTCTCGTAGCTTTCTGAGATGTTTCTCCATGTCTTCTCGAGTTTTGGTCCATTCTTCCCTTTCTATTACCGTTGTTGGGTCAGCTCTTTCCCCCTGAAAGAATCAAAATATATAAACATCGACGGAAGACGAGAAAAGCTATAGAAATAAAAATGACAGCCGGAAGAAACATGTGTAGAAATGGAAAGAGACCGCATGTATGATTTTAAAAGAGTTCCCATTGTCGCGTATCACGAGCAAATCATCCTTCCTATCCCTTTTTCTCCCTCCAGGAACTGTCACCTGAAACAATCCAAAACCTTAGAACATGGGAGGGACAATTGTAGACGTAGCTTTGAACCACACACGTTATTTTAAGAACTAACAACTCAAGCTATGTGATTCAGGACTAGATATGGATAATACCATTATGATAGACCCGATTGTTAACACTATAATAGCATGAGACTTGTTTGGCTAAGAGAATGTGTCAATCCATAAAAAATGCCCACTTGGTTACAGTCTATCGTTGAGATTTTTAGCTCAGACTATGAACGGAAACTTGTTAATAATGACTAGATAAAACTGGAATGTAACAATAGTTCATACCAGAACCCTGGCTCTGGTGATTGACTTTGTCTTGGAGTCAATAACATAGATCTCTTCAAGGTCTAGCACAAACTCTGGGTCGTTTAACCTTCTGTTCCGATAATGCTTTGTCAAGAAAACCTGTAAAAATGAATTAACACGATGAAGACAAAACCAAACTAATAAGTTTCGAGTAGATGTCATCTTTGATGCTTTTAGATAACATATTTTTTTGCATTTTCCAGTAATGTTGCAAACCAAATAATCCGTGCATCAACTACCTAATAGATTAACATGAATATATAGGACACCACGGTTCAAATATGTACCTTGGTTATCTCCCTCTCAGATTTGTATAGTGGGTCTCTGGGAGCATCAATAGGCGGTTCAGTGACATTGTAACATCCATAGTCACTCATCGCACATCGAATATACTGTACTTGCAAAACATCATTAACACAAAGCCGTTAACAACATCACACCAAATTACTGATAAATAAATAATGGATGTAAAACATGCGCAAACAACAAAGGTAAAAAGTTACAAGATTGGCAAGAATGAAAGGGAAAGATATTAAACAGCTGGGTGCTGCAACATTCTGATTAAAGGGGTTACGGAACTTTAAAATTTTATTTGTACAAAGTTTTAACTTTTTCAGTGCTAGTCTCAGTTCCAAACAGAGCACACACACACATGTTCATATAAGATATCATATTTGATACAATTACCAGGTGGAATGAAGTTCAATTTCGAAACAGAGGACACACACTTCAAAAACAGCAACCAGTAATGATTAAATAACTGACCTTTTGAGGCATTGGAGCAAGAACTCTTGGAATCGAGTAAATATCCGTATCTGGAGGAGTAACATACATCTGCAAGTAAATCAAAACGCCGCCGTATCGGTGAAAAAACGGAAAACACTGCGAATTCGAAGTCAAAAGCAGAGAGTAACTTTGACATACCTCTCTGAAGTCATAAACATCGTTATCAGGATCAGGCGGTTTCCTGATGAAGAAATCGCAGTCGAGCAAACTTATCTTATGAAACTCCTCTTCGTTAATCCGATAATCAACCACCATCTCCGAGTCCCATCCCTGCGTCGATATGAAGCTCTTGCTCTGCACGAAAGCTATATCTCCATCACCAGCACTTCCGCTTGCAGCCGCCATCGCTGCGGCCAAGGGGTCGTACTCGACGTCGTAGTCCTTCTTGTTGTCCACTTCCTCCACTTCCTCGTCGTCCATGTCGTACTCGTCTTGTCCGCCTCCGTCGGCGTCCGCGTCGTCTACTTTGACGATGATTGAACGGCGGCCGCGGCGGGGGTTTAGTGTTAGAGGCGCGAAACGGGAGTTGAATGTGAGTGAAGGGAGAGGACGGTGGGTGGTGGAGGCGGCGGAGGGAGATGGAGGAGGTTTTGAAGTGAGGGAGAGTAGAGATAAGGAGGGAGGAGAGGCGGAAGACGCCATGGGAAGAGGATAAAGCTCTCTGTGAAAGAGTGTTGTAATTGTGGATTATGTATTTCGATAAATGTTAATATTACGGTAAAAGAAATTGCAGAGTATTTTAAAAGCAGACCAGACCGGTCAATCGAACCGGTCCTAATTCGATTTTCTATCCGGTTCTGATTTATGTTAAGATTCGGATTTAAGTCAAACCGTAATAACCCGGTTAAGAAGTGGCCAAACTCACCAAATCTGCTAGTTCAATAATAAATTCGACACTTTTCATTTAATTAAAAAGATTTTAAATTAAAACTAGAGATTTTTCCCGGGCTACGCCAGATTTTTTTCTATATTTTTAATTTTGTTTAGTTTATTATAGAATATACTTGATTACATATTCTATACTTAGATTAAATAATTTATATAAACTATTAAAAAAATTGAAACTTTTTGTATTATTTTTGGTGACTAAACTTATAAATTATCAAAAAATTATTTTTTCTTTCAATATCAAAATATATATAAGTTGGTAATCAATTGAATAAAAAATTTATTTCAAATTCAATTATTTTTTTAACTTGTTTATTTAAATTTTTATGAAAATGTGGTTAAATTAACATATAATTCAAATATTTTTAATGTTAAAATCAACCAATACATATTTTAAATTTTTTAAATTTATTATTTATTATTTCGTAATAACAAAATCTATATGAATCTAAACTATTAAAGGGGAAGTACAAATAGTATATACCCCTTAGTTTCCCACAAAAATTACAACTTTATGCCACTAAAGTTAAAACACAGTAGTTTTGATTAATGTCTAATTATTATTTTGTTGGGCTGCTGTAAGTTTGTCTTTGCCAGCCCATAAACAAGAATTTTGATGGCCTGTTAAATAATATAATTACTAGGTGATTTTCCCGTGCTCATGCACGGGTATAAATATTTATTAAGTAAATATACTATAATAATTACTTGCTATTTACTTTTAATTTAAAATTAATTTATAATTTGCATACAGGATTTATATTAATAATATTATATTACTTTAATTATACATATTATTTTAGAAATGTTATATCTAGTCGATTTTATTATTTTATAGTCGATCTAGCTATTATTATTTGGGTATATTAGATTATATATATTTCTCTGAATTCAACTATAATAATTTTATTCTTATACTAAAATTTTGATTAATTTTATTATCTACTTTTAGGTTCTTTTTTGTCTTAGATATGTAAATATATTTTAGAAAAAATAATTATAACTTAAGATATATTGTGCTTATAATAAAATAAAAAATAAACTAAAGTGTTTGATTTCAAATTACATTAATTGATATAAAGACAATCCTTGAAGTCTCATGCATATATATAAATTTCACAAAATAACTAATTTGTAACATTTGGTTAATACTTTATTTCATTTGTTAATATGTTTTGCGTCATCCTATAATTTGTATTTATAAAATAAATTATAATTATAAGAAAATTATATATTCTTATTATAGTTAAATCAATGATTTTAGATATAAGTTGGATTAGTCGAGCTATTCATATTATGTGTATATTGAGTTAAATTCTAACTAAATTATTTGTATTTCTAAAATAAATTATTATTATTATTAGAAAATTATATATTCGTATCATAGTTAAATCAATGATTTTAGATATATGTTGGATTAGTCGAGCCACTCATATTGTGTGTATATTGAATTAAATTCCAACTAAAGTATTTGTATTTATAGAATAAATTATTATAATTAGAAAATTATATATTCTTATTATAGTTAAATCAATGATCTTAGATATAAGTTGGATTAGTCGAGCCACTCATATTATATGTATATTGAGTTAAATTCTAACTAAAGTATAATTATAATTAATGTAATTAATTAAAATTAAATTAATATTATTTATCATTTAAATGTGCATGTATTTTCATAATATTTATCAAATTATATGTTTCTTTAAAAATATTAGAAGATAAAGTAATGATCAGTAGAAAGTTACATACATAAGTAACTGATATATTTTTTGGAGAGTCATGAACACATATCAATATTTATTTATCCATATTTTTTATTTAGTTGAAAGATATTATAGTCAACTAAATATGTGAAAAATAAATTAAATATTCAATAATTTTAATTAAAAATTGTTTTAGTCAATAAAAACCATATACATGTTTATGTTACTTAAAATTATGTTTAAAAGAAATAAAATTTATTTTCCAAATATCAAAATTATATGTGTGAATTGTTTGTTATAAAATCATATTATATACATATATATATATATATATATATATTTCATATAAGAAAATATAGATATAAAGAAAGTATTTTATTAATGGAAAATTAGATTTTATGTTATTTAAAATATTTTTCAATGGATGTTACCATTTTGTAAATTTTCCTTTTTACTGAAATCATATTATATAAACATATATTTTCGTTTTTAATTTTTCCTTTTAAATTTTAGAAACGTTTCCTTTTTATTATAAATGTTAGCTGGAAATTTTTAAAAAGGAAACTAAAAAAAAATCAATAATGCTATTTAAATATAAGATTTTGTCTCATTAATATATTTATAATATTTTATTGATAGAATATTACTATTTTTTTAACTTTCTTTTTAATGAAATCATATTATATAAACATATATTTTCGTTTTTAAATTTTCCTTTTAAATTTTATAAATGTTTTATTTTTTATCATAAATGTTATTTAGAATGTTTTAAAAAGGAAACTAAATATAAAATTAATAATACTATTTAAATTTCATTAAGGGTATCAGTGTAATCAACCATCGTGAGAGTTAATGTGAGCGTGACACATAGGAAACTGACTTCTCAAATAATGTTATAGAGATAGAAAATGCATAGTTTATACGTATTACATGTATACTTATAGATATTAGTATTCAAATAAAATAAAAATCAAGTTTAAAAACATGATAAAATTTTAAAATCCATTTTCTTTATTTTTAGATTTCATATAAAAATATATAATAGATGATTTAAATCATTTTTGTAATAATTTGGAGTTACAGCATACAATTCAATATACAATAACATTAAAATTAATAAGTGTTTAAATATAATGTAAATTTTAAATTTAAAAAAAAAAGTCAGATTGACTTACATATTGGTTACCTGTATGTTCAAACAGTAGCTTCGACTTTTAACACTTATACAATAAAAGAAATATATAACAGTTCACAAATATATATATATATATATATATATATATATATATATATATAACACAATACAAAAACATGAAAGTAATTTATGCTATGAATTATAAACTAAAATCTAACAAATGAACCCATTATATGAAATTGTTATATAAAATCATTAAGTTTTTGTGTGTTTTAAATGTTTATATAATTATAAAATAAAATAAAATAAAAGTTTAAAATACAATAACATTAAAATTAATAAGTGTTTAAATATAATATAAAATTGAATTTAAATTTTCAATTAAAAAAATCAGATTGACTTACATATTGGATACCCATTTGTTCAAACGGTAGCTTCGACTTTTAAAACTCATACAATAAGAGAAATATATAACAACTCACAAATATATATATATATATATATATAACAGAATACAGAAACATGAAAGTAATTTATGCTATGAATTATAAACTAAAATCTAACAAATGAACCCATTATATGAAATTATTATATAAAATCATTAAGTTTTTGTGTGTTTTAAATGTTTATGTAATTATAAAAAAACATCCGCGCGGGAGCACGGGTGAAGATCTAGTTTGTTCTTAAGTGTTAAGACAATGATGAAATGGAGAATAACTGAAATTTAAAAGTGATGTAATTTTAAAGAATCCTGAAATTATGTCAAATACTTTTGTTTCTATGCAGCAAAACAAAATATAATAATTAAAATATAATATTCTCTAAGAACTATTTTTATGTTCCTTAGTTTAATCACTAAATGTTCAACTAATGGTTCTAACATTACATAACTAGTTAATGTAATTAAATAAATACTTTTGGTTCTAGCACTGTTTTATTTTTTCTTATATCTTGTTTTATTATTTTATAGTATGTTCTATTTCAACTAAAATATATTAATTATATTATATTTTATTATGGACAGATTATTTTAGGCTTTTATATTCATTTGTGTTTATATAAATGTTTGGTTATATGGATTATACAATATATATAAATACTAGACCATGACCCGCCCGACCGGGCGGGTGTTTTGTTTTCTTTTAATTTTTAGGTTTATACTAAATGATGTAAAATAAAAATGAAGTATCATTTAAATGGTTACAAATTACATATGAGTTTAATTTTGATAGAAGAATACCGAAAAGTTTGTTGTTTGATCTGCGCAAGTGTTTGTTTTTATATATTTTATAAGTGATAATATATATTTCTAAATTTACCCGTTTAAATAATTGTTTAAAATGACATTTTAAACACACAATTTTATAGTTTATATTGAGTAATTTTATTTTATCTTATAAACTATCATTGTGTCATACTTATTTTAAAAATATGACCCGTATATCTGCACAAATGTTTTTATTTTATTTTTATGGANAAAATGACATTTTAAACACACAATTTTATAGTTTATATTGAGTAATTTTATTTTATCTTATAAACTATCATTGTGTCATACTTATTTTAAAAATATGACCCGTATATCTGCACAAATGTTTTTATTTTATTTTTATGGATCAAAATTTTATGATAATGTATAACTAAATTGTTTTATTTACTATTTAAAATATATGGTCATATATAATTCTACTTTTTAACTTTTATTGTTCTGAATTTACCTTTAACTATTATTTATATAAAAATATACATAACATGATATGTTTATATTAATCTTTTTATTATATATTATATAAATGTTTCTTTTTGTAACTTTTATTTTAGTTATTACTTATAAATAATAAAAATATAATTATATATCTTTGAAAAAATATTGTTCATTAAGTATTTAAAGATATGTAGATAATTAATAAGAAAAAATCCTAAAAGGTAGGTTAATTAATATTGGAATTA